TTTAAATCAACTTAGGGTTCATCTGGGCAGGGTGCATCTCCATTAGCTTCCTCCCAGGTGCCCTACCATGTTTTGTCATTAAAGGAATGGTTTTACTTAAAATTATGGAAAATTCAGGGGGAAACTTGTGCTAGATGGAAGCATAACCAGAAGATCTTTCAATGAAAACGTTCTGAAAAATACAGGAAACCAGTGTCAGCTTCCAAAAACTAAAATATCAGATTTTGGTTGCCTTACCCATAAGGTGTAAGATTTTTGCAAGCCAAATACTCAGTGTCTATACTTTACATTAAGTAGTGTAATGTAAAAAGCTTAGGCAAGGCAAAAAAAAATTATCCCTATCCCTTGTTATACCAATAAACATTAAGTGACCTTTTATTAAAAGGAAAATTTGGGCTTTGTACTGAAACTTTGTACAGTTTCAAAATGGCATTTATCCATCCTACCCACACCAAAATTACAACACAGTACAATTATTAGTATGGGCAGTATGCATGACAGCAGATATGTGCATTGGATGTACTGCCACAAATTAGCCAGTATTTAGGAAATTAACAAGCTATAGTTAAAACGTGATGATACATGAAGACCCTAGAGCCACCAAAATCTGCACTCTAAGATTGCCTATTAAGTGAACATAACAAAAGTTGAATTATCTGTACAAATTTCAAACTGGATCTATTAAACTTGAACTTATCAACTTAAATTTTATATAGACAGACTAAAAGCACTTTTTAAGCTATTTGCGTTATGTAATTGTTTTTTTTACAACATTCAATGCAAATTACATAGAATTACAATTTAGAAAAGGTGTTAAATCACAGGCACTCATCACGCTGAATCCTGTGTTATGTACATGTGTTAATCTAGACAGGGACTCCTCAAATTAAAGACAGCTAACATTATTACCAACAGTGCAGTAATAATACAAACTCTTGGTAGAGTGTCCTCCTTTTCATTATCGTTACAAAGAGTAAAACTATATTTTGCCTTCAAGATGGGACATAGATCTCAGAACTGCAGATGTTGAGAAAGAAAAATATATGTCTAAAACGTATGTCACTGAACTATTTGACAAGTCTCTACAGGGCATTTTTAAGACAACGCAGTGGTTTTATGTGAAGTCTATGCTTTGTTTATATGCATATAACAACATCAAAAGTCAAGAAGGGATTTTTCTCACTACACAAAACTGCATTTACGGTAACTGTATTTTTTTTTCTTTAAAATTTAGCCTTTTACATCCAATACCTTAAGAGTACAAAACCTAAAATAGGTTGAATGTCACGTGTAACAAAGATCTTGCTGACCTACTGACCACATTCTGTTTATGCTGGATATGATGCAAACACATTTGATTCCATTCTAATTAGATATAGATTGATATATCATAACAATAACCATATAATAGCTCATTGCAAAACCAAAATAAAAAAATATATATACTTAGAGCGACTACATTAGAATGTGCCATAACATTAAGGCTCAGTTTTGTTGTTGCTGTTGTATACCATACTAGTAAATAATATATAATATAAAGGAAAAATAAAAAATGCAGCTCACTTTCTCTTAAGGACATAACACATATGGCATCACACTACCAATAAACGACAAATTTTATATATATTACACACACACAACCTAACAAATAAAGTAAAACCAACCCAAGCGTTCTCTACCCACCATAACCCTTCAAGCCAGTGACCTCAAATGGTACACAAAGCATAAAAAGAAAAAACAAATTGCATTTCTCAGGTACAGTCTGCGTACTGGTACCTGCTCCGTGATACATTCAGATACTTGACCATGTTTGTATTATCTTACGCTCAATAAAAACTGACATGCTCAAAAAAAAAAACACATATCTGCAAGCATAACAGTTAACCACAAAATCATTTTTCATCATCGACTATCATGCAATACATAAGACATTATTTGTCCCTGTCAAATATATCATTATTTGGTTAACTGGTGTGGAGCAACTGGTGTGATGGGCATATTCACACTATTTTCATTTTCCCTTTCTGTTGCCTTTACAAAACCAACATGTTTGCATGCCACAGAATAATGAGACCAGCCAATGTGAAAGTGCTTATAATTGAGCCAGAATTACAGCTGCCTCCTTCAAAATTTTAAAACACTTCGTTCGTAGGAAGCCAACAGCACAGAACAAGTTTCAGGCCAATGTTCCAAGCCATAAACAAATTATGAAAATTAACTGAGCACATGACATATTTGTCCAAAAAGCACTGACGTCAACTATGCATCATGTTTTGAATCTCTAGATGCACAATTTGACAAATATTTATACACTGGGTATACAACTGTACAGGTCTTCTGGTAAGGTGCCTGATGCAGATTTTAGGCCCAAGCGCAAAATTACAAGTTTAATATCCATTCTACCCACATATGTTTAACCAAACTAGACAAAGGAGGCATTTTGTTTAGATTATTTGAGCATTTTTTTTGAGGTTATGTTACATGAACAACTGCAGACTTTAGAAAACTTTGGATTTTGTTTGATTTTTACAAAGGCTGAAATTCGTCATCTTCCTGTTAAATGCATCTATTCAATCAGCAAAAGCTCTGTTTCAATAATTACTGGACAATCAGACCGGAAATGTGAACGCAACAGCCTAAAAGAATATTGCACGAAGGTGTAATCTTTTAACTTCTACCACATTTGAAAGGCATTATGCACATATGAATGTATTTGAAGATATTCCTCCATGACTTAACATTGTCCTAAGGAAGACTATGAGCCTTGAGAACAGTAGTCTAGAATTAAATAAGGGTAATCAACATATCCATTTTAATGTTTCATCCATCATAGAACAAAAAGGCAGAAACACTGACTGCTTGTCATTAAAACTACACAGCATTTTAGAATTACAATGTATTACATCATACAAGTACGCAGCTATGGAAAACTACACGGCCTACACATTCACTAGTACTGGAAGATGTCCTGTGATACCACCAAAACCTTATTGCCTATAGATGTACAGCCAGCAGAAGTAGCACTACGTTTTATTGCATTATTCTATATGCATAAAATCATACAATCACACATCACCACTGGTGATGACAGACACAACCTTCCACATACACAATGACAACATTGTTTAATTCGTGCAAAGTTCATTTATTTCCCTAATGCAACTTAAAAGGTGAAACTAATATATGAGATAGACTCATTACATGCAAAGCAAGATAGTTCAAGCCGTGATTTGTCATAATTGTGATGATTATGGCTTACAGCTCATGAAAACCCCAAGAACCCCAAATCCACCTCAAAAAAGTAGATTATTACATGCATTGCGATAGAACAATATCGGACCTCTGAAAAGTACAAGCATGCATATGTACTCAGTACTTGGTTTGGGCCCCTTTGGCAGCACTTACTGCAATTACTTTTGCCCGATATTCTAATTATTCGACTTTCACCTGTATATATACATACTTATATACGTTTTCTTAAATAGGTTACAAATGAACAGTTGCTTATTTTTATATGCTGTCACTCAAAAAGAAGAGGACAATTTTTGCTTGAGAATTACCTGAGTGGGGATTTAGATTAACATAGGCTAATAGGCATGGTTATAAAAACCAACAGCCCCTCAAGAGATTAAACACCTTCAACACAGATATACGTGCGGGTGTTATAAATTTTGTTAAGAGGTACTTCAAAAAAAGGATGTTATTTTCAGAAAACACTGCTCCGATATACTGAAGTTCCCCAAGACATCTTGTGT